CTTTGCAGTGAAGACTGAGCTGCTAATATAAATTTACTTTATATTGTAACTTACTTATATTCTAAGTACTCTAATGGAATAGGCTGAATAAATCAACAGGCATAAAAAGAATTACTTCATATTTTAAATACCAATTGTAAGAATTGAAAGAAAAAGAGGGATTTTCCAGAGGAATGTGAGCAAGGCTTCTGCCTCTGAAAGAATCATTTCTAGTTTAAAAGGGGACTAAAATGTTCAATAAGATGGATATGCATACTTAAATCCAGTCTAACATATCTGTAGGTTTAATGTATACAGACTAAGTATTTTAAAGGTTGATTAAATATCCTCAGATTGATGTAGTTCTCAGCTGTCTAGAAGAATGTACCACACCAATCCATGAAGTTTCTTACATTTCCATGTGTTTAGTAGTGTGTGTGAAGATTGTCTACCAGAGTATGATATAAATACATTTTGAAACTGAAGAAGAAATCTGCAACGCCTTTCTGTCTGTGTGTCTGTGTCAAACAAACCATTCATACGCTTGGGTCTGTGCTAAGTGAATGAGAAATGTATCACAGAATGTAGTCAAGAGTTAAAACAGGCTTTGTTGTGTATACAGACATCAAAAGTGTACTTTTGTATATAAATTCTCTTCTTTCCCATTTGGAAGTGGAATTATTAATGTTTTTCATCAGCCTCGTTTGGATTTTTTCAACTTTGTAAACTTCATCTGTGGCACCTGGGTATTGACAATATACAAAAACTTTAGACTGTTTTATGGAAGATATCAGATGTAGGTGACTGGTAACAAACTCAAACCACAGAAAATTTGCCGTTTCTTGGGCTGCTCTCTTCATCTGATAGCACAGGTACCTAACTCATCTGATACCGTAGATAACTTCTGTGCTGCATGGGCACTGTGAACCAGGTCTTGGACTGCAGGCTGGTAACAGTTTCTCCTGCTGATCTGACAGTGGCCCTTTCACAGTGTTTACCTTTGTTTTTCATGTCCTTGATATGAACTTGCTTGTTTTCACATGGATTTCTGTACTTGAGAGTCTACTCAGAATTTTTCCATGGTATGAGCATGGATTTTTTACATGTCAAATTTACTATCAGTGGACATGGGTCTTTTTTCTGAATTAATGGATGAGAGTACAGCCAAAGGAGCTCTATATGTAACAAAACTGAGAGCAAACTTGTGAGTTTTTGAGCAAAGTGCTCTGTTAACAATACTGATCTTGGAATTCCTGCGTAATGGTGTTTTAGTTGTGAGATGAGAATACTTGTGGGAAGCTAAGATACAGCTTCAGCCATTAGCATACTCCTAGTATTTTTCACCTAAGAATTTTTTTATAATTGCTGTGTGTTGGAAGTGGAGTGTCTCTCAATGGTCTGACTGCTGAGCAGTTGGAAACCCCTATGGTGTTTTCAAACCACTTAAGACAGAAAGAATGTTTTGGTTTGGATCTGACAAACCTTGTCTCTTTCCTAAGTTGCTGACCAGCAAAGAAGAGAGAAACTGAGAAAGCAGGTAGCCCGGTGTGAAGAGGATGTGAGTGTGGGTAAAGCTGCCTCCCGGTCAAGCTCAAGAGAGAGTGGAAGGCTGCTGCCATCCGCTTTTGGAAAGGTAGATATTTTGACTTTTTATTAGATATCATAGTCCATTTGCCTCCTGTAATAGCTGATGACTGCTGTGCAGCAGCTCTAGAAGGAGAGCTGGCATATTTCAAACAGCAGAAAATAGACAAGGGTCTTCCTGGCATGTGCCCAACACGAAATGTATGTCTCAGCCTTCTGACAAAGATGGAGGAAGAGTGCTTGTGGTAAAGCTCTAGCTACCCTTGAGCTCTCTTCATCTCAGCTGAAATTCCCATATCCTCTGTGTCATTGCAGAGCTTTCTACCATTTCCTGAGGCAGAACTCTAAGCTACCACTAACCTTCCTAGCAGAAGAATCAAGCTCCTTCTATTTTCTTTCTGTATCCAAAGTCCTACTTTGGAAATACATTTTGTATCTTAACAGTATGCTACATGCTCAAACTGCAGTTATTGAAAGTAAAACAGTACTTAAAATAAGTGCTTTTATGTTGATATACATAGGATCACTTATTTTGGAGAGCATTTCATCCAGATGTGGTGTATATTTCCAAATAATAAATAAATAGCTTAATAAATTACATTCTCTTGTTCACTACTGTAAAGGAGCAATTGCAATTTAAACCAGGGTTCTTCTACTTCAATGATTAGATCCTCTGATGCATTGTGAGGATGAGTTAGCCATTCTAATTGCATTTCTCTAGCCATCAGGATATATCAATAGGTGACAGTTGGGAAACAAATTCTAAGGATGCCTATTAAAGCACAAGACAATGTGGAAGATTTTTGCCACACAATGATCGTATTATTTCTGTCACTGTTGCCATTAGAAAAAAGCTAATTATACATCCTGTATTTGTGGAACTGCTCAAAAAAAAAAAAATTGTTTTATTGAATTAGGATATTCCTGGCTCGGGATGAGATTCAACACAGTTTTCAAGTAATCAACCTTGCAATATTCTAGGTTTCCAAGGAGGTAGTAGCAAGAGCAGAATGTGGTCCCATGCTTAGTAAGCATCTTACAACATTCCAGGAAGCATGTGAAAAAAAAGAGACAAGTATAATTCTCCTGGCTTTGCCACTGTTATACTTAAATATGAGAATACAGAAGTTAAAGAAGTTACTTTCATAATGTGTAATTTCTTGCCCAATGAAATGTGGCTCTTGTAAAATATATATAGATTTAAGTTTAATGTTCATACATATGTACGTGTATAAAAATATAATAACCCTTGCAACTCTGACAAGTTCAATGTCTGACTGGATTATAAATACATGTGAACTGGCTTTGATATATGCACCTGACTATTTTCAAAAAGCTTCATTAGCATTCATTTTTTATACCTTCTGGGAAATCTCATGCCTTTATTTCATAATTTTAATTTTTCACATAGCTGCATTTATTATTATTGAATGCCGCCAGAGAGCACAGAAACTGTTTTCAATTGAGATTGTTTTGTGCAGGATAAAAGTAAAAAGTCATAAAAATAATTCCTCTAAATTATATAACACACATGACACATTTCTTAAAATGTCTCCGTGGTTCAGTTGGTGTCTCTTGTTACACGCTGAGCTGGCTGTGAAACTGAGTAGCTGTGATGTGTCTGGAGCCCGACTGGCCTGCCGGCTGTTCTCTACCAGGACTGAAACACTCAACAGTGAATTCATTATCTGCTTGTGTGTCTTTGTGAGTGTGATTTTTAAGCAAGTGTTGAAAGAATCTTTACTTAGCACTGAAAAGCTTTAGAATAGCTAAGCAGCACATTTGTGGGTATCCACTCATTTGTCTGTCAGCAAATTACTTACATATACCCCTCCTTTAATTAATTGCTCTGAGTTTTCTCACAATAGAAAAGGCTGTTTGACAGCTTATGTGGTAGTGCTGACCACGTAAGACTACGTGGTCTTTCCAACTGCTGCTGGGGGTGGAAGGCTACATCCTAGAAGAGTCTTAGCTGGAAAGTAAAATCACTGAACAGAATTAGTTCTGTTCTAACTCAAACCAGGGCATTTTATTGCGATTGTTGCCCACACCAATGAGATTTGTTTGGCTAGATCCTATACAAAATATATGGTTACTGAAAACTGCAGTTAGACATTCTTCCTAACTTCAGTTGATGCTTATACTTCAATCTGCATATAAAACAGACTTCTATTGTGCTGCTTTTGGTACGGAGGGAGTTAGCTGGCCGTAATTTTAGTCTGCAGCACAGTCCGCCTACATCTTACCTTAGCCATACCACATTTTCTACTGATTGGTCTGTATTAGTTTGTTGTGTTAACTTGTAGCCTTTTAAAGTAACATGGAATATGAGCTTGCTTCTGAGAATTGAAGTAGTTTCAAGCTCTGATGTGTTGAACAGTTAAGAAGCAGGAGCACCAATATCATTTCTGTACCATAACCTCAAATCAAGTCTATCTATTCATAAACTCAGCACGTTGCTACCTGTCCTGTTCATTCTCTATTACTTTCAATGTCTAGGTTTTAAAATCTGTTAGCATTGGGATTGCTCTGAAGCCAATTTGATTTTACAAAACTGCAAAGATTTTACATAGAAAAATTATCTCCAAGTTACTAACAATAACAGCTGGGATTACCAGCTTGAGCAAAGCTGGTAACTTGCAAAGCAATCACATCTTGTTTTCATTTTTTTAGAGTTTCTTGGAAGCAGAAGACAGAGATGGTCTCTGTTGCTGTGCTCAGCACCTATCAAGAATGCCGTCCCCTTACAGCAAGCCTGGCTTAATTTGCTCCACTCCAGTCAAATACACCCAAAAAGATTCATGGAATACATCTAATGTGTCCAACTCAAACTCAAGTCTCAGTACTTCGAGTACACCAAGAAAACGCTCTGGACTTTCCTGCAGTTGCTCCACTGGTAGTTCTGTGAGCAGCAGTCGTTCCCAGGGGTGTCGAAGACGCAACCCCAAAGTATGCAGCGGGGACCTTCTAGAAAGGCACTCTGAATTCTTTACTGAGAGACGAAAACCTTTCACTCCACGCACCCTAATATCAGATGCTAAATCTTTCTTGTCAGAGTACAGGTATTACACTCCTGCTCAAAGGAAAAAGAAAAATCACTGCAAGCAGCATGTGGAAGCTCAAACACAGACTGATTTGACCAGGTACAGAGATGAAAGCCTTAGTTTGAAACTGTGAAATTTAGATGTTAACATAACAGTATCTTCATGAAAGCAACATGTTTTGCTCTCATTTACATTTGTATAAAACGAGAATAATTATTTTGAAATTATTCTAGATACGCCTTAGCAAAAGCTAGAACAGAATGGGATTTTCCTTTTTTCAGTGGTACAGTTTGTTGTGTTCTCTCCAGAGCAACTGGTTTCATGTGTACAGATTGGATACAAAGTGCCACTAAATCCAAACCGTGGATCTGCTCGGGAGAGTCATTCCCTCTCTCCTTTCTTCGGTCTCTCTGGTGCTTAGTTGTGCTTTCTGTCTTCTAAAGAATTAGCCATTATAAGCATGAAAGTAGCTTCCCACTGTTGCCCCTGGAGTCTCATACTTTTCAATTCATTAATTAATATATTGTGCAAAGAGAGAATCAAAGAATCCTTCAGGTTGG